ATAAATCTAATGCTAATGATATGCTTGGATAGTAATATTTATTTCTTAGTAATAAAATTAATAGAGCTTCATCATCATCATATATTATTTCTAAAATCAAAAATAATCTTAACCTATTCATTTGAATCATCAAAAAATTTATTAATATTTTATTAATCCTATAGTGTAGAAATTGGAAGCAAAAATTTTTCATATATGATTAAAAAATAATGATGATTTTTATTCATATATGCAAAAAAAAGAATCTTAAAATTTTAAAATCCTATGGGAAGTATAATCCTATATGAAAATCGAATTTAACGATGGTAAAAAATTGAAAGTGCCCTTATTACCAACCTTCAGTTAAATTATTAGTTTTCATTATATATTTATTAATATTAGTTTTATATGTTATCAGTTTATTAAAAACTATTTTAAAATATTCTAAGTTTTAATTATTGTAATAAATAATTGTTTATTAAGCTACTTTTGTTGATTGTAATAAAAATAGTTTAATAATATACTTTTTGATTTTAAATGTATTTTATTATTATAAATGACTATTGTATTAATTAGTTTTATAATTGATGATAGAATAATAGAAATAGTGGTTTAAATCAAATAAATTAGCATATGATTTAATATAAAAATATTTATAGATAAAACTTATTATATATAATTAGTTTTTATAATAGTTTTATCAATAAAATTATTAAAAATTTCTTTAAAACTTATTGTTTTTTAAAAATTTAAATTTTTATTTTATGACTTTCCTTATGCAGAAATTTTTTTAATATAAAAATAAATAAGCATAACCAGGGTATAATGACTACATTATTTGGTATTCTCAGAAGGATTTTGTGCTGTGGAGACAGAGGCAGTGACGATGACAACAGACAGGATGAACACAATAATACAGGTAGTAACAACTCTAGATTGAGATCTAGAGGTATTCCAGTAATATCTAATTCTAGAAATTTGTAGGGAAGTGACAGAGTAGTTCTTAATAATAAAGAAGAAGAAAAACTAACTAACAAGAATATAAGTTCATTTACACATGATGAATTTAAAGCTATCAAGCACAAATTACCTGTATTGCATGATAATTCAATGGGTGATTTAGGCATTGATGACATAATTGATCAAAATAATGCAAGTTCTGATTGTGATAATTGTATTACTAAATGTGATGATATTGAAGTAGAGTGTGGTGATATTGAAGTAGAGTGTGGTGATATTGAAAAAGAGTGTGGTGATTTGAAAGTAGAGTGTGGTGATTTGAAAGTAGAGTGTGGTGATATTAAAAAAGAGTGTGATGATTTGAAAGTAGAGTGTGGTGATTTGAAAGTAGAGTGTGGTGATTTGAAAGTAGAGTGTGATGATATTGAAGTAGAGTGTGATGATTTGAAAGTAGAGTGTGATAATTTGAAAGTAGAGTGTGATGATTTGAAAGTAGAGTGTGATAATTTGAAAGTAGAGTGTGATGATTTGAAAGTAAAGTGTGATGATATTGAAAAAGAGTGTGATGATATTGAAGTAGAGTGTGGTGATATTGAAGTAGAGTGTGTTGATTTGAAAAAGAGTGTTGTAATTCTGTAACTAAATGTGATAATATAAAAGAAGAATATAATAATTCTGAAACTAAATGTAATGATATTGAAGAAAATTATGATAAAATACGGAAAGATATAATCAAAGAAGAGGAATATGATTTAGAAGAAGAGTATGATTTAATAAGTCAAAATACATCTGAAGAAGAGGAATATTTTAGAAGAAAAAGAGAAGAATGTCACAGAGAATTACTTGATGAAAAAACAGGACTTGATTTAAGTATTGGTGTTAACAGAGTTGTTTATGAAGCAATTGTTTTAAAAGGTGATAATGTAAAAGAATTTACTAAAAAGGAAGTAATAGATCTTTTTATAGGAATACTTGAAATGGTTGAAGAAGGAAAAATTTATTTACCGTTTGATGAAGCTTTTGAAGTGTTTAAAACTTTAATACAACAATATGATTATTATAAACCACAATACAACACACACTCTACTGCCGGATTTAACAATTCACCTAGAAAACCCACTAAACCAAATTTAACTAATCGAACATTCTCCTTTAATAATTCTTTAGATTTCTTTAAAAATCTATCAAATCAACAATCTAATAACAACAATAAAACATCACACTCACATGATTCTACTGATAACAATAAAGTTGAAATAACACACTCAAACAACAACACACACTCAATATATTGAAAACATCAAATATGATGACGAAAAATTTATATCCGAAATTCACAATAATAATAACGTAACAAAATTATCAGATTATTAATAAAATTTTTCATTTTATTTTAATATGAAAATAAATTTTTTATAAAATTTATTAAGCAATCTAAACTTAACAATCATAAATAATATAATTTTATTAACTAATTAAACAATAAATAAAAAGTTTATTGACTCAAACAAATCTGAAACAAATTATAAATTTTTGAAAATTTTTATAACCCATAAATGACAGTACGTGCACTAAACTTAATTACAAAAGAAATAAACTATCCAATAACTATACTTAAAAATAAGAAACTAGCAATAGATGGAGCTTGGTTTGTAAGAAAGTTCTTTAAAGAGATGAACAAAGCTAATTTTGATGACATTCCAATGTATGTAAATAATGAGCTTGAGAATATAATAAAAATATCAAAGGAATTCCAAATAGATATTCTATGGATTTGGGATGGAATGAAGTATAATGATTTTACATTATTTGAAGATAAGCTTCATTCATCAGAACATGCAAGTAGACTAATAACCAATAATAAGCTTAAACCATATCACATGTCATCAATAGAATTCTTAATTAAACCAGTTAATAAGGTGTTAAATGATGCTAAAATCACAGTAGTGAGAGCTCCTTATTCTGCTATGGCACAATGTGTTTATTATCTTGAAAACAACATAGTAGATTATATTTTTAGTAAGACTGATGTATTCTTATTTAATAGGTGTGAAAAGGGAATATTTGATTTTAATTTTGAGACTAAGAAGATCAATTATGTTTTAAGAAGTACTATAGAAAATTATTTGAAGGTTAAAAACCACTTCTTCTTAAGACAAATTTTAATTGCATCAGGTTGTGAATTCTGTAAGACAGTTCCATCATTAGCAGAGAATTTTAGTGTTGAAAAATTGATTGAATTGTTTGCAGAAAAGAGTTATAAAAATTCTAGTTTTGAAGAAGAATTGAAGGCAAATCCTGATTATAAAGAATTACACACTGCAGCAATAATTAACATTATGTTTCATCCTGTAATGACTCAGGATGGTACTGTAGTTTCTATGGAGCACAAAGAAATGCCTGAAGACATGCCTTTGATATTTGGTGAGAAGCTTCCTAACAGTCTTTATTGGTTGTTATTTACTAATCAAATCTCACCTGTTTTAATTGAAAATATGGCATACAAGCCAGCTGATAATATTTTAACTATCATGGCTGATAAGTTAAGATCAATTGTTTTAAATGAGGTTAACATTGATGAGTTAAAGAGTGATACTGATAACTTTGTTATCAATTTAGATCGGATTATTAGTTCTAAAACTATTCCGGAAATTAATAATCAATTTAAAGATGAAATTATTAAGAATTATACTGTGTTATCACAGATTAAAGATGGAAGTACAATTGCTATTAAGACACTCAATAACATGATTTTTAATAGTGGTATTGACAAAGAAATATTCTATTATTATTTTATGTTATTTGACTATTACAGTGCATTTGATGATTTAATTTTCATTCTAAAAATAACTGCTAAAATTAGTGATGTTCCTTCTAATAAGATTTTTATAGAAAATGGAAATTTAAAGGAGAATGAAATTGCTGATAAGTTTTTACAAATTATTAGTGAGAATAAATAAAACTTATTTTTAACTTTAAAATGTTCTTTTTTTATATAAATAAAATTATTATTTTTAACCCTTAAAATGATTACTTCAATTGGAATGCTTCCATCACGAAAAATTACTGAATTTAGAGAATATAAACCATTACAAGAAGATGTTAGTGTGTTAGATGAATATAAACTAGACATTTTAGATACATTAAGTGATGCAAATAGTGCTAGAAGTTTTGATTTAGAGGATGAAATAACTCAGAATGATAAATTAATCTACGCTACTTGTTTTGATGATGAATTCATGGGAATAGCTGTATTTACATCTAACTATTACAATGATAATTACACAGTTAAAGTTCATCATAATAATTCTATTGTATCAACTATTTTTGATTCTTGTTTACTTGAAAATGATTTAATTGCTTTAGCTACAATGGACACTGCTGATGTATTAATACATGATTTATTTGTCAACCAACCTTTAAAACCATCTATGGTATTAAAATATAAAAGTGATAACATATCTACTGATAATTTCTTTGTTTCTGGTGTTAAATATTTTAATAATCATTTATACTCTACTTGTTATACTAATTTGATCAAATGGGATTTAGAAAAAACAACTGTGATAAATGAGGAAAATAAAAACATGGAGATTGAAAGATTTAATATTAATGAGAATGCTGTGGTTGTTGGAAAAGACTTAAATATATTAATTAATAATGATATTGTTTATATTGAAAATCCTTTAGAACAATTTACACTTTCAAATAACTTTGTTTACGTTGTTGATTCAGAAGGTTTTTTAACAAGTTTTGATTTGAGAAATCTTGAAAATAAGAAAAGTAAACAAATCACTGATAATAAAGCTATTTTTGATGTTAAAGTAACGGATGATAAAATTATGATAATTAGTGAAGACAAATCATTAAGGATTTTAGACAAAGATTTTAACCAACTGGATAAGATTGAATTGGTATCAACTCCCAATGTTATGTGTGTTGATGATGATGTTTTATTTGTTGGTTTAGAGGATTCTTTTATTCAGCCTTATAAATTTGAGTAAATTTTTTACCTAAAATTTTAATAAAAATTTTATGAAAAATTTTTAAAATAAGCTATAAGGAGATAAATGAATGCATTTTAATAGTTAATTACTCTGTTTTAAAATAATTCTTAGACAAAAATATTAATAATTTATTCTATTTCTAATATACTCTTTTCAAATTGATAGATGACATATTTATTTTATATAACTTACAACTATAATGTTATTTATTTGATGTGAAAATAAATTTAATAAACATACTTAAAATAACTAATTATAAAGATATAAGAGTAAAAATTTTTGTAAGCCCTAAATATGATTAAGCACTACTGTAAATTCGAAGAGAACGTATTGATAAAGAATAAACGTAAAATAGAAACTAAAAGCAAGTCAGAGGCTATTTGTAGAAAGGAGATAGAGGCTATTATAGGTTTACTTAAATTAAAAAATAGTGGAATGGAATTCAAAGAATACAAATTAAAAAAGTCTTCTTTACAAACCCAGGTATTAGAAAGTGTTTATAAAATTACTAGTTTTCCTAATAAAAAGATGAAAGAAGACCTTGAATTGGTATTAAAAATGCCTTCTAAAGCTATTCAAATTTGGTTTCAAAATGCCAGATCTGCTGATAAAAGACAGAACAAAGGAATTTTATTTACACCTGAAAATGTTAGCATAGTTGATGGATTGCTAGATATTTATAAAAGATTTAAAAAAATAAACTGAATTCTATTTTCTTATTAAAATTAGTGAGTTTGTTTTTATGTTTCTAATTGATGTGTGCAAAATTTAAATTTAATTTTTTTAAAAAATAATTTTACCTCATTTTTTCATTTAAAAATTTTGTATGAAAAAATGACGAATTTATTTTTAGTAAAACATAAGATTTTTTATTAAGTTAATAAAATAATTATTAAAAAGTTTGTATGTTTATTTTTAATGATAATAAATATTTAATTATTCTTTTAGAAATCTATTAAATTTAAATTAGTTGGAAAGTAAATTTATTTAAATATGGAAATAAAAATTATATAATTTATATTAACTAATTATATTATAAAAACATTTAATTAGAAGCTATATAACATTTAATTATAAATAAATGATAGAAAAAATAATGTTTAAAATAAATTATATTATATTTATTTAATTTTTTTTAAAATTTAATAGATTGATAAGTTTTAAGATTAATATAAAATTATAGTCTTTATATTAAAATAAATATTTATTTAATCTTTATTTCAATCATTATGTGAATACTTATGGTTTTCTAAAATTTTTACAATTTTTAAAAATTGCTTTATTTAGCAACTTAGTGATTTATTTCATTTAAAATTTTAATAGTTTTTCTATCATTAAGAGTATAACAGATTATATATGAGATTATAATAAGAAAAGAAATTGTTGTTTAGTAAACTAATAATTGGATTATATATTTTTTAATTAATTAACAATTATTACAGTGGAGGGTAGAAAAAGTTTAAATTTTTTAACTTAAGTTATAAAAGTTTATTTAAATGTATACACAATAATTTTTATAATAACTTCAACATTAACTATAAAGTAAAAATTTAAAAATAGTTTATTAAAATTTTTATTAAAAAATTTGTACTTAATAAAAGACTATTGAAAAATTTAATACTATGAATATACTTACACATTCTTTTAACTCCTAATATATGTTAATAAAAACCATCTTGTATTTTTAATTATATATTGTTCAATCAAATACCTGACATTGATTATTTTTTTTAATTTTTTAAATTCAGTCAGTTTTCTATTAATAAAAACTAAAATATGTTTTGTTGGGTTTGAATTAAGACATTGTGGTGATTATTATAAATTTTTTATCTCTGAATTCAGTAACAAATCATTGTGTGTATCTATAATAATTATCTTGTATTAATACAATTTGTATTTTTATACCATTATAAACAATTTTGAATTTGGTTCTACTTATAAAAGAAACAGTTATATTTTAAAAAACAAATTATTAAACCTTTTATAAAATAATGCTTCCAGAAACCATTGGATTTATTTTTTTTGTATTTAATAATAAAAAATGTTTTTTTTCCTGTTTAAATCATTAAAATTGCTTTATCACCGTTAAAAAATTAAATTTGCATTCATCTGAAAATAGAATTATATATAATTTACAAATTTAAATGACTTTAATTTTATTGATAGTTAAAATCTTTTCTTTATACAATTGTATCTTCAAAAATAATTTTTATTAAGTAATTAGTCATATATTTGAAATTTTTTAAACAGTTTTAAATAACTAACTACACAATTATATTTACTTTGAAGTTATTTTTGAAGATATTTCATAATAACAAAAGAAGGATTTTTTTACTTATTGAAAAAAATTGTATGTCTCGGATCTTTTTTCTTTTCTAATGGATCATACCTTTTCTATTTGAAGATTTATAATTATAAAGCATTTAAATAAACCTTTGAACTATTTGTATTTAGATTTTATGTTTATGTGATATGTTTATTTATGACATTCTTGATAAAATATCAGTTTATTTTTTGACTTTTTTATATCAGAAAAAATTCTTTGAATAATCTATTTAAATATGTTTAACATGTAATATAAAAAACTTTTTTATTTTACACAAATTTTTTTAAAGAACTATTTTATTAACCACTTTTTAAATTTTATTGACTTTATTTTTAATGTTAAAGTTGTTGTATGTATTTTAATAAACTTTTTTACTTAAATTAAAAGTTTTTACTGCTCTTTTTTATACACATCACTATAAGTAGATCAACATTTTTTGATACTTTAAAAATTTTAGCAAAATTGATTTAGATATATTAAAGTATTAGTTGACTAAAAGTAAAATCATATTTAATATTTAAAATTTGCTTAGAAGATCATTATTAATTAAATTATATATTAAAAAATTAATATTTTAAAGAAAAATTATAAAGGATATGGTTATAATTTATTAAAGAAATAACAGTATGACATTTTTAAAGTTATTTGATTAATTTTTTTATAAAATAATTCTTTTTTCTTCATCTAGGGGAAAACTATTAAAATAAACAAATTAAAATAATAAAAAAATATTTTTATAATAAACTTACTTAAGATAATTGTTAATAGTGAGATTGTTAATTTTTTACTTTTTATTAATTTTTTATTTAAAAAAACCTGATTTAGCTTTTTTAAATAAAATTATTTTTTCATTTCTTATATGAGAATTGAACTTTAAAAACAATCAGTAACAATTAAGAAACTTGATTATTCTGGTAAGATTAATGATTAATAATTTATTCTTTTAATATTTAATTTAAAATTCAATAAAAAATGTGTTATATATAAATAGAAGTTTAAAATTACATCACAATATTAAATATTATAAAATGTTTTTACTTAATTAAATTGATGGAAAACTGAAATTGTCAATTATTTTGATTGATTAATGAGTTTCTTTCAGATTTCTAAACTAAAATAAACAAATTAACTATAATAAAAAAGTTAAAAATAAAAAAGGTTGTATTATAAACTAGTAGACAACATAAACAATAATTTGTTAAAATTAAGTTAAAACTTCATTTAGATAAATTAAATTTTAATCAATAAATAATGATTTAATTTTTTATTTATAATTAATCTTTGTTTACTAATTAAAGTTTGTAAATTATATTGAAATATAAAAATGACAATTAAGTGAATGAAAGCAATAAAATATCTAATAAATACAAACAAAACTATAAGTTATTTATTTCATAATAAAAAATATTTAAAATTGTTAATTAATAATGTTTTTAGGTGAATTAAATTTAAAATAAATATAATAAAGATAAAAAATATCAATAACATTTGTATGATGTTTTTATTTTAATTTTTTTAATAAGTAATATAAAACATAAAAAATTTACAACAATAACAAAAAATGTTTAGCAGCTTTCATTTTTTTCATTTTGATAATTAAACATTTAATTAAGTCAACATCATTACCCATATGGTTATTGCTGTTGTGTGAAGAATAAAAAAATTTTAGGGATATTAGTTTTTTGGTTATTTATAAACAAACAAAGAATATTTATAAAATGATATGATTATTAATTTATTTTAAGCAACACAAATTTAGCTAAAAAAACTGGACATCAATTGTACTTAAGTCATGTTAAGAATACCATTATCGAAAATCGAACCTAAAATATGTGATACAATTATAATTAATGAAACACAGAAATTAGCACCTATTTTAAAATAGTTTGCTATTTTTATAATAAAATTTATTTTAAGTTATAAATGTCATAAATAAGAATTGAATTAAAATAGTAATACATATATAATTTATATAGTACAATCTTGACCGTTTAATTCAAGGTTATTTGTTATTTTTATAATGAAATTTATTTTAAGTTAAAAACATCATAAATTAGAATTGAACTGAAAAAGAGTAATACAATTATAATTAGTGCAATAAAATCTTAAGTAGTTAATTAAAAAATGTTTGTCATTTTAAAATAAAATTCATTTTAAGTTGAAAATATCATAAGCAAGAATTAAACTTTAAAAATATGTTAATCAATTATAACTGATGCAACACGGTTTTAGCTACTTATTAAAAATAGTTTATCGTTTTTATAATAAAATTCATTTTAAGAAGAAAATGTTATAAACGAGAATCGATTTTAAAAATATGTTAATCAATTATAACTGATGCAACACGTTTTAGCTACTTATTAAAAATAGTTTATCGTTTTTATAATAAAATTCATTTTAAGAAGAAAATGTTATAAACGAGAATTGATTTAAAAAACTTGTTGGATAATTATAATCAACACAACATAATTTTGACCAATTATTTAAAAATTATTTGTCATTTTTATAATAAAATTCACTTTTAGTTTAAATATGATAAATGAAATTAAACTTTAAAAACTTGTTATAGAATTATAATTAATACAACACGATTTTAACTTCTCATTTAAAAATTGTTGGTCATTTTTATAATAAAATTTACTTTTAGTTAAAATACGATAAATGAAATTAAAAGTATTTTATAAAACTATAATTTTTTAAATAGACCTTTCAAAAAATAATAAATATTATTTTTTTATATAAAAATAAACATGTATTAAAAATATATTTAATATTAAACTATTTATTGATTAAACCTTTTAAACTAACAATTAAATTTTATTAAATTGGTATTTTTACCTTCATATTGTTGTTTATTTGTTTTATTGAAACTACTTTAAAGAAATTTTATAAAAAATAAAACAAACTTTATTTTCTTTGAGCTTATTGTTGAATTTTAAATAAAATAATTATTTTACAATTATTTTCTACTTTTAAAGAATAAATATATTTATCACTGAAAATAGAAAATTTTAAGTTTTTTAAGTAAATGCTTATAAAAAACTTTTATTTTTATTTTAATTCAACTCCCTTTCTCTTTTATATTATAACAGTCTATTTTAAATATTATTAATAAAAGATTTTATTATTTCATCAAAAATTTTTATAAAATAAAACAAGTTAAAGCTTTGTTTTGCTTAATAGTATTTAAAATAATATGATTTTATATTTCAAAAAGCTTTTCTTATAATTTTTTTAAGAAAAACAGCCATTTAATTTATGTTTAATATGTCAATATTCTATTAATTTACAATATTACAATAATTATTGTGTTTTTGAAATAATTTATTGTTTTGATAAAAATACAAAATTTTACAATTCATTTCAGTAAAAATTATAA